CACATACACATACACATACACACTCACTCACTCACTCACTCTCACTCTCTCACTCTCTCACTCTCACTCACTCACTCTCTCTCACACACACTCACTCACCTTCCCTTGACCCACCGCCCCCCCCCCTCATAGGATGTGTTTCTGCCGATGGACCGACATCGGGAGCTGCTGTACATCTTGGGCTCGTCGTCGCAGGAGCCGGATCTTGTCATCCTCGCTGCCATGCTCAAGCGCCAGGAACGCGTTCTGCAGACACTCGCACACACAAAGTGCGTAGGCGGTGTGCAGGGATGGCAGTGGCCGTGGTGATGGTGCAGCGAGTGTGCTACTTGTTTCGTATGTGACATGTACCGAAGTACTCGCTTGTGCATCTGCATTCCCTTAACACTCATGAAATCCCATCCTCTCCTGCGTTTCTCTCCCTCTCTCTGTCTGTCTCTGTCTGTCTCTGTCTCTGTCTGTCTCTGTCTTTGTCTCTGTCTCTGTCTCTGTCTCTCTGTCTCTGTCTCTCTCACTCTCACATTCAATGACATGGGCGCTGTTATTGGTTAGGACGCGGCCTGAGGTTGGAAGACTGATGCTAGAGCAGTTGCAGCAGACGGCGCAGCGACTGGCAGAGTGTCTTGGACTGCACGACGAAGGTGACGATGAACAACAACAACAACAACAGCAGCAGCAGCAGCAGAATGGTGGGAATGGGTTGCGCGGTCGAATTGAGTTTGATGGAAATGGTGATGATGCCGTTTCTGTCGTCAGCGCTTCATCGCAGGTGTGTGAACGCGAATGCGTGACGGTTGCTTTTCTCACGCGTGCGTGTGTGAATGTGCTCGTGATCGTGAACTTGCACTGTGCGTGATTTTACTGACATCGTCGTTGATTCACCAACCACACATACAAATGCACACACACACACGTGCGCGCTTACTTACACACACACACACACACTCACACACACACACACACACACACACACACACACACACACACACACACACACACACACACACCTCTCTCTCTCTCTCTCTCTCTCTCTCTCTCTCTCTCTCTCTCTCTCTCTCTCGCTTTCACACACACACACACACAACTTCACATACATACATATGTGCACGTGACCAGGGCGGGTCAAGTGCCCTCTCACGGCCGGGGCAGCGGTCAGCGCTGTCGCAATTTCTCTTCAACGCGGACATCAACATCGCCATCACGGACAGCAAAGTGTACTGCTGCCTCCCCAGCACCAACAAGCACGCCAGCCCGCGCCCAAGTGCAGTCGCACACGCAGAGTACGAGCATGCAGATGTGTATGTTTATGTGTGTGTGGAAAGGTGTCCGACGTGTGCGTTTGCTTTATGTGTGCTTTCTTGTGCGTGAGATGCCGTTTGTTATGGCTGCGTTGGGTGCCTCTCTCGCTCTCATTTTGCTTACCTGCTGTTGCAACACATATGCATGGCCAATTTGCCATCACGTCTTTGCACTTCTCGACTGCATCCAACAGACCAAACGGTGGGTATGGGTTGGCTATTGCTGTGTTTCACTTCTTGCGTGCATGTTCTTCGCTCTGCCCACATGCACACAAAATCTCATTTCACGATGTGCGTGTACACATAAACGCGTGTGTCTGTGTGTGTATGTGTGTGTGTATGTGTGTGTATGTGTGTATGTGTTTATGTGTGTATGTGTGTGTATGTATGTATGTGTATGTGTGTGTGTGACTACAGATGCGCCTGCGTTGAAGATTCAGCGTTTTCCTCTTCCCGGCTGTTCCCTCCGCCTCTCCTATCGCTCCTTCCAATTCCGCACGCAGACACACCAGTTTGAAGGTGCGTGTACCACAACGTGTATCGTGTGCCGATGCAACTGCATTCGCGCACGTATGTGCGCTGCTGTCTACACGTGTGTGTGTGTGTGGGTGTTTGTGTGTGTGTGTGTCTGTGTGTGTGTCTGTGTGTGTGTCTGTGTGTTCTCGCTCGATGCTGACAACTGATATTGCTTGTGCACAACGCACCATCTCAACGCCATTACAACACCATCACCCCGTCTCTGAACAGAACAACAACCAAAGCTGTTTGCTGCTGTCACCATTGGTGACGTGCACACTGGAGACGCGAAGGAATCGGGGGCGAACGATCAAGAGAAACCGAAAGCGGATGGCAGCGCACAGCAGGTGCAGTGTCTCTAAAACATGATCACACATGTTTTTCGCGTGTGGATGTACGTTCTTGTATCGCATCACTGTTGCAACCGCTTTCGCCCTTGACGCCTCCGCCCGCTCACTCATCAGTGCACACACGGCAACATGCATGGCTACTCGTTTGTAGGCTGTGGTGATTTACCCGTACTTTCTTGCGTTTCTTGAGGCAACACACGCCTCGTTCGTACGTAAGCAGCGTGGGCTGCTCATCGCGACACCACAATATGCTGAAGGTGAGTTCTTGATCTGAACACACCGCCCTGTTGTTGTGCATTGTGTGTGAAATTGCGGAAGCGCTTTTGTGTCATATCGTACATCGACAACGCACCTCAGTCACACAGCCAATAACATCAGCGACCAGCTCACCACCCAGTCTCCTTCGACCCCCCCCCCCCCTCTCAACCAAACACACCACACCAGCCGCTGAAGTTGCTTCGCTGGATGAGCGCCTGTGGCGGCATTTGGACGTCAGCCTCAGCTTGCACACATCGCGCGCAACGCTGTGCCTCTCCTGCTACCCGCGCTATCACGTGGACTGCACCATCAGCGTACCGCCCCTCGACATGCATCTGTCGTCGTACGCATCGACAGGGTGCCACCCATCCCCACTCGTGCGTCATACGCGCATCACCAGCGTTGCGTGCCGCCTGCGCAGCTTGTCGCTGAGCGTCCACAGCACGCGGCAGTGGGCAGGTCGGACCGCTCGTCCGGCGTTTGCACTCAACGTGGACACCGCCGCCGTCCAGGTCTCAAAGCGATTCGCACTCGCACAGGTACGCGTGTGCGCGCGTGACGCGTTTGGTTTGGATACACATGCGTGTTTGGCTGTGCTATGCGTGTATGTGTGTGTGTGTGTGTGCATGTGTGTGTGCCTGTGTATGTGCGTGCACGTGTGTGCTTGTGTGTGTGCGTGTGTGTGTGCTTGTGTGTGCTTGTGTGTGTGTGTGTGTGACAATGACGCGTTTTGTTCACCTCCCTCCTTTTCAATGCCACCTCATCGTCGTCCGCCACACGCCACCCTCGTGCGCCCCCATGGCACCGCGAACATGTGTACATGTGTGCACGTGCATACGTGTGTGCAGGTGAAGGAGAGGACGTTTTCGATTGTTGCAGAGGCCGGGGCAATCACGGCAAACTACGACACGACGCAGCTGAACGAGGCACGAACTTGTTGTATTGGCGTGTGATGAGACATGCTGCATGCGTGATGTTTGTGCATGTGTGCTTGCATGTGACGACTGTATTTGATCTGGGGTGGGGGGGGGCGCTCGTTGTGACCATTCGGAACTATCGTGTCATGCATCACCACTCACTCACAACACAACACCCAACTACCGCCACTTCCCATCCTCCTGCCCACGTGCTCAGGTGTTGTCGTTCCGGCAGTGCTGGTTCTCCGATTACGCGCTGGATCGCATGCTGTTCGCCCGTTACGCCGCAACAACAAGCGATGCTGGCGCAGGTGATGGTGGTGCAGCGGGCGGCGCAAAGCACAGCGGGGACGAAGACAACAGGTGAGAGTGCAATTTGTGCGATGGGGCGATTTGGTGCGCTATGCGTTTGGGTGCTGCGTGACATGTTGTCTGTCTGTGTGCTGCGTGACATGTTGTATGTGTGCGTGTATGTGTGTGCGTGTGTGCGTTGTGTGCGCTGTGTGTGTGTGCGTGTGTGCGTTATGTGCGTTGTGTGTGCATGTGTGTGTGCGTTGTGTGCGTTGTGTGTGCATGTGTGTGCGCCCATCCTCATCAGCCGTATGTGTGTGTGTGTGTGAATGTATGTACATGTATCAGCTACACGTCCATGATGATGCTGCTGCGAGCACGATCGGTGGAAGTCGCCGTCAACCTCGGAATGGTGTGGAAGCAATGGCTGATG